TGAATTAAATACAGAAATCGTTTTTCTCGGAAACTATTAGAGTCAGAATCTTCTAATTTTGACGAAAAACTTTAACTTCATTATGAACAATGGGAAAAAAATGGGCAGACTTTTATTAGGGGGCTTGGAACCTCCATATGTATTAAATAAATATGTATATGTTATTGAAAATATGGCTACCCCATAAAACACAACTCAAATTAAAAGCGTTCTTTAGATGTTTTTATTATTTTGTTCTAATGAATAAACATTTTTGAGCAATGTAGTTGTAAGATAATATTCTTATACTTATAACAATTTTATAACCAAATGATAGTTTTAAAAATTTTTTGTTGTAGAAATTAATAAATTTATAATCACCTTGTATAAAACAGGGTGAACACACATAATTAAAATATTTTTTGTTGAATTCTAATGAGCTTACTTTACAAATTATTCAAATCACACTGCTAAAATGTGGAAGATTATTATATAATTTTTTTTAAGAAATGTAGTTAATATTATTTTGTAAAACATTAAGGAAAAAAAAAACAAACAAATATCAAGGTAGTATTTTCTGTATTATATCATACAGAAACTATGAGTATATTTAAACTATATTTTAATAATTAATATGTCAATCAGTACAGGATATTATAGGTCGAATATCATCGATATATGGATGATAATAAATATACATATATACATACATACATACATACATACATACATACATACATACATACATACATACATACATACATACATACATACATACATACATACATACATACATACATACATACATACATACATACATACATACATACATACATACATACATACATACATACATACATACATACATACATACATACATACATACATACATACATACATACATACATACATACATACATACATACATACATACATACATACATACATACATACATACATACATACATACATACATACATACATACATACATACATACATACATACATACATACATACATACATACATACATACATACATACATACATACATACATACATACATACATACATACATACATACATACATACATACATACATACATACATACATACATACATACATACATACATACATACATACATACATACATACATACATACATACATACATACATACATACATACATACATACATACATACATACATACATACATACATACATACATACATACATACATACATACATACATACATACATACATACATACATACATACATACATACATACATACATACATACATAATACATACATACATACATACATACATACATACATACATACATACATACATACATACATACATACATACATACATACATACATACATACATACATACATACATACATACATACATACATACATACATACATACATACATACATACATACATATGTACATACATACATATGTACATACATACATACACCTACATATGTTTATTTACAAATTCCAGCATCAATATTGCCAAAAAATAATAAATAAAACTACAACTGGCAGTAGCAAAACCAAAATAAAGTTACATTGCTGCTAGGAAAAACTAAACGCAAACAAAAATAACATCAATACTCGCCATATTAGTTTAACAAATTTGAGTGTGCGCTGCTAAAGCACAAAAATATATTTGTGTTGGCCTGCAATTATGTCTGCCTGCTACTAGAAATTGCAAACACGAGTTGCAATTTTTATATTAATACGAATATATATGACTGCAATTTTTAGTAGCAAAGTGATACAAAAATGATAAAGTTTCATATTTATTTTATAGTCATATACAAGAGAGGTGGTGCTAGTGCTGCATATTTAAACGCTGCTTAAAAGTAGGTATGTGAAATTATTTCTCTGCGTTACACATACATATTCCCCCACTATAGTGATGTTTAAATCGATAAGGAACGCATTTTTTACAGTAAATTATTACGATTTCTGAGGATAGGATCAACAAGGCACATCGGTGCTGGGCGATATGTAGGAGAACCATAGGCATGAAATGGGGTCTTAGTCCTACTATGACAAATTGGCTTTATAAAAGTGTAATTAGACCAATTCTAGCTTATGCTTCAATAATCTGGTGGACTGCTTTGGACAAAAAGTGTAATATCAAACTACTACAGGGAGTTCAGCGTACATGCTGCTTGGGTATAAGTGGTGCCATGTGTACTACTTCAACCAAGGCTCTGGAAACGTTGCTAGATATTCCACCCATTGAAACATATATAAGATATGAGGCGGCGCTTACAGCCGAACGGCTCTTTACTTTAGGCGAACTGGCCAAAAACGGTTATAGGACACGTCATCAATGTATACTGGACACATTGGAAGGTTATACACATTCATCGGACGTGCCTGATCGCATACCAGACACTGAATATGTCGGAAACTTTGAAACGCTAATCCCAGATAGAATGTCTTGGTCAAGCGGAACATTAGAGCAAATACCAGTAGGAATCCGTTGCTACACGGATGGCTCTAAATTAGGGGACAAAGTGGGTCTGGGGTTCTATATTGAAGACCCAGAAACAGAAATATACCACCGTTTACCTAATCATAACACAAGCTTCCAGGCAGAAGTACGAGCAATAACGGAATGTGTAAATTGGATTAGAATAAATATGGCGCCCACAGGGCTTAATATATTTACCGACAGCCAGAAGGCAATTTGTGCGATATCAGGTGATAGAATTAAATCTAAGACCGTATTGGATTGTAAGAAAGCTTTAACTGAATACTCTCCCAGAGGTAAGGTTCACATCATATGGGTACCAGGCCACTCGGGAGTAGCCGGCAACGAAAGGGCGAATGTAATAGCTTTAAAGGGAAGGGAGCTCGATGTAGTTAACCTGACAAACGCAAAACCATTCGACGCAACAAAAGCTGAATTAAAAATATGGATGAGAGAATCCCATAAGGCCTCTTGGAATAATGAAACGGTGGGTAGAACCACAAAGATTCTATGGGGTGACCCTGATGAGAGCAAGACGAGAAATCTTCTCAAAATGAGCAAGTCTGAGGTTAGTATGATGGTACGTATTCTCAGTGGACACACAGGATTACGAGCACATCTATACAAAATTGGACGTGCGAATTCAGACGAATGTAGAGCATGTGGAGAGGACAGTGAAACTCTGGAGCACTTTCTTTGCCATTGTCAGGCATTCGTCGAAGTTAGATCCAAGTATCTTGGAAGTGATGTTATTCCAGAAATAACATTCTTAACCAACACCGATTGGAAGATTCTTAGGAATTACGTCCAGGAAACTGAGTTTCTGAACATGGAAAAATAATACATTCAGTGAACAATTTTTTTTTTTTTTTTTTTTTTTTTTTTTTTCTTGAATTGGAGCGCACAACAGGCCCGATAGTGGCCTAGGTGTATTTCTTCGGATTTGATGTAGTATACATCCTCCTATCAACCTACCTACCTACCATTACGATTTCTTGATAATTTATTTATGTATATACACACATAATTCGGGATTAAGAAATCCCGGGATACCTAATATTTTAATATCTCGAATATCGGAATATCCCGATTGGCATCTTGGGAATTTATCACATCTAAATACATCACTTAACGTCACTAAATCGTTAAATAAAACACAATTTCTGTTTAATTTGGAAAATGTTTTATTTTTTCATATTTCATTTTTTTAATATTTTTTAATAATGTATATTTTTTATTTATTAATATTTGTTATAAATACTTAAATATTTTGGCAATTACTATTTACAAAACAATATTTATTTATTAATAATTTAACTTAAAGTTAAATTGGTTTATTTCTTTATTTTACAAAATGTATATTATAGTATTTTATTTGTTATTTATACTTAAACTTAAATTTTAAATAAAAGAAAATTACAATAATAATAAAAAAACAAGGAATAAACAATAACAACTTTTATTTTTTCTCTCTCTTAAAATTATATGGAATTGTAGTCTAGTAAATTACATGAATACAAATTGTTTATCTAAATTAATTTACAGTAATATGTATGTATGTTCATGTCGGTCGGTCGGTCAGTCAGTCTGTCTATTTGTGTTTGCACATACATACATACGTAGGAAAGTATTTAGGCACATATGCAATATGTATATCCCAGCAAAATCTTGCTAATTTACTTATTCAAGAACTTACTTTTCAAGAATAATTACATATCTACATTACTAATAAGGAGTTTAGTAATGACTTAAATGTTTTTGATATATTGGTACTTATTTTCGGCTTTTCCATTTTGTTTGCGCAATTTATTTGATTCAATGTAAGTTTTTTTCTGGGATGCTAATGTATGTTTGTATCATAGTATATGATAACGTCCAATATGATTTTAAAACAAACATACATACATTATCATCCAATATATAAATTGATATAGTTAGTTTTAGTCGACTTTGAATATACATAATTATTGAGTTTCCATTTACACTCACATGTTTAGAAACAAATAATACGAATCAAAAAACTTTAAGGACCACAATCTCATTCTCCAGTTATCGTTTAACCGGTAGATATTCTGCCGGTTAAAATGTTTTTTGTATGAAAACTGTCAAAATATCGTTTCGATAAAAAATAACAAGACATTGACAAAAACAATTTAAAAAATGTTTAAAAATGCCGAATCTTTTCATTCAATTGCAAGATATCTGCAAATTTGGAATCGTTACATGCAAAAGTGCCTCGTATGTTTGTATGTGTATGTTTGTATTAGTATATGTACATAATTAATTAATTTTAATAAAAACTTAACTGAATTAATTAATATAAGAAATTTTACTAATTTTGTTTTTTAATTACTTTTCTTATTTGCAAATTTCCATTCCATAGAAAATTATATATTTTTCTTTTGCACTTTACTTTTATAATTTACATATACATACATATGTACGTATGTATCTAATCTTATCAAGAAGAAGTAAAATAAATAGAAAATTTGAGCAAGATGTTGGAGTGATTTTTGTTTTTTTTTTTTTTTCGATGAATTATAGAATTTTGTGCGATAAATTGATTTCTAGTATTCTTAAGAATTGGACGATTTTTTTTTGCAATTTTGACTAGGTTTAGGACGTTATTTATATTTTTTTGTTTTTGTCTCCTTAAAATATTTTAAATATTTAGTATTTGTTTTTGCAAACAAAAGGAAAGAAATAATTGCTCTAATGGGGTTTAAAAGAATCAATAAGTCACACTTCGCTTTGCATACAATGCACACTGGAGTCTTGTGATAATTCATCCATAGAAGATTCTGTAAAAAATAAAAATAAAAAATATGTTGTAGAATGTATACATACTATTAAAGGACATACATATAATTTCAAAAGAAAAAAACAACTATTATAAATATATTTTATGATGCAAATATTGGTATTAAGTGAAAGCTAAGAATCTGTACAATAATATTATTTATTTATCTTAATTGGACATATATTTTCTGACTCACACCATTTCGATTTTGTTAGAATTTTGAAATTGAAAACTTACCATGTGGCGGATATAATCCCGTTTTATTGCCGTTCATTTGCATGGGATTTTGACCGTTATTCTGAAATGAATACGTCAGCTGCAGGTTGATATGGCGGGCAAAAGAGTTACCTTCAGGTTCTCGCACTAAAATCAAAAATATGTTGGAGAAAATATTTCTATAAGTATCACTATTTTAAATCACAATTGAAATACAGAATAATTTAACATTTAACCAACTTTTATATACAATAAACATGCTAATTAATTTAAAAATTTAGTTTAGAAGAAATACGTATAAAGGAAATGATGTATAGAAGTGTCTACATGTGTATACTACATGTCAAAGTTCATGCAAATAATGCAGTTGCAATGACAACTAATCTACCACTACCACAACACTACTTACTTTTATTCTTACCAGCATGTATGTGTTTTTTCTGACGTGCTCGCGAATTTTGAAACCAAACTTGCGTCACACGTTTACTCAGACCCGTCACCGAAGCAATTCTTTCCAAATCCTGTCCATCTGGATTACTGTCAATTTGAAAATTGGCCTGTAACACTTGCAACTGCTCTTCTGTGAATGTAGTACGAACACGTTTCGTTTTGCTCTTGTGATAACCATCACCATCACAGCCATCTATTGGGAAATATTAAACAATAAAGAAAATATATTAATATGTTATTAATTCAACTAAACATTCATATTTTAACATAAAAAAATAAATATTTTAAATAAATACTTAATAGTCGAATAACCATTAATATATCATTCGGGATGAACTTATAAAAGTAATAGTTTCTTAATGACATATGTAGGTACTTTGCGTGTTTAAAAATTAAGCTTTGTCTTTTGACCTTCCAACAAATAAAATGTTTCGAATGCCAATATAGCAAAAATACTAAATCATATTTTTAGTTGCCAAAATCCAATAGTAAAGAAATTAAAATACAAAATTCAAAGAAATATTTCAAATTAAAGACACAAAGGTTAATACTAGTTCCATATGAATGGTTATTTATTGTCAAGTGAAGCAGTCAATAAATACGAACTACATATGTACATGTGTACGTATATTGTGGATTACAAATTAAAAATCAAATTAATGTTTTTTATCACTGATCAAAAATAAAAACAAACTACATCTACATATAGTAAACAATCTTATTTAGATGCATACTTTAAAAATACACTGCAAGAAAACATTTTAAATCTCTTCCGTTTCCATGTAAAAAACTATTTTTTAACAATGAAAGAAATTTGTTAACTTTTTATCACTTAGATGTTAACTAGTAAGGGAAAAAAACTCTACTGCGGCAGTACATTTAATTTTCTCAGTGTATACGCAGTTTTGTACAAGTTGTTCTTTTATTTCATGAATTCATGTAGAATTGTTTCCTTGATATAAAGAGTAAATTTAATATTTACTGTTGTAGAATTGTTGTGGTTTACTTGGTTTACAAGTGAAGCACGTTTGTTGTCAACTTGTTGGCTAAATGGCTGGCTGGTTGACTGACTAACTGACATGAAAACTTTAGCAGTGGCGTTGGTTGTATGGACAGACGGATGAATGGATGGCAAACTAACTGAGTGAATGACTGACTGCTTGGTTGGTTGGTTGGTTGAATGGATGGCGTCAACAATTTATTGTTCTTGGCGTTATTATTGCGCTTGTTGTTCTTATTATTACTGCTATTTTTTATACTTTCGACTTTGTTTAGTTTCGCTTTAGTTATGAATGACATGGTTTTTGTCAGATTCCGACATTTATGTATTTGTACGTGGCTAAAATAAGTTAGAATGAAATCTTGGCCAAAATAAGCGCATGTCATTCACACATAATTCGTCATTCGATAAGGTAAGCCTACAGCTACCGTAAGTATTGAAGACTTATACGTACATACATATGTGTGTGTGTGTTCAACCAAATAATATTTACAATACAAAACCGATATAGCCAACATATGGCACCCCCAGTACATGCTGGAAAACTTTTACTTACCGTCACTTGATGTAGTGCCACCTTCTACTGTTTCCAAATAGTGGGCTTTACACAGCACTCGATCTTCCATGAGTGCAAACTGTTCGCCTGTCGATAGCTGTCGACCACATTGATCACAAGCAAAGCAGGCTAAGTGGAAAACTAAATCGCGGGCTCGCCGCACCCAGTCGGAAGCTGAAATACCACGGCAGCATTTTGAACATTTTGCACCAAAGTTTCTGCAAATTGAAAACAAATAAAATGGATTAATGTTTTAGTAAATAAAAAAGTTATATATTGTAAATGTATATGTGTATTTAAAATTTCCTGTAAGATCTTGTAGCTTAAACGCGACTTATATTCTTAATATTTAAAAATGAAAATTGAGTATGTGACTTGATTTTACTGCAGACAAACGGCACTTGTCAGACACCGGAAGTGTAATTTATCATTTTACTCTATCAGCTTCTTTGTTACTTTATCGGTCTTTCAAGTGTTAAAATACGTGTGACAAATATCAAAGTTTTTCAAATGAATTGCAGTTTCGTATGTGTTTGCTTATGTATGCTGTTTTGAAAGTTTTAAAACACTTTTCAGAAAAAAAATTATAATTTAAACTTAAAATTCTTAAGTTGAAAAGTAAATATTTTTACAGCATCTCTTATAGACATTTGTTTGTGTATTTTTGTTGTTATTTTATAATTTATGTTCTTTTCATAAATGTTGATGAAAATATGGAACTAACTAACTCTCTATAGGTAGTTCTGTCGAATGTATGTCTGTCCGTTTGTATTCATTGGATACACTTATAAGGTAAAGTAATAAGTTGTTGCTGTTATTATTGTTGTTGGTGTAATGTTTATCTTTGGTTTTATGTCATTGTACACGTACGTTCAACGTACATACATACGTACATATGTATGTATGTACATACCGACCAACGGTGTGAATGTTCGTCGTCTAGTTCACTTTGTCCGTTCAATGGTTAATAAAATAAACACATTGGGGGACATGAAGCATACATCCGATGTTGACAAGTCATGCCTGGATTCAATTGAAAACAACGAATCAATGAAAAGTCATCTTTTAAGATCCAAACTAAATGACAACTAATAAAAACAACAGCAACAAAAAAAAAAACACAGCATAAAAGTGTAGCAATAAGTCTTGCAGTTTAATACCCAACAATATCAATTCCAGTCGATTTTAATATTTTTATTTTTTTTCCTTTTTTGATTGTTTATTTTATTTACGACTTTTAAATATTTTCTCTTTTTCATCAATTTATCAATTTAATCATCATCATCATCAACTGCAAGTAAGTACATAAATATTGTGACAATTGAATTGAATATTAGATTTTATATCGAATGGGTTTTATTTGCTTTACGGATTATAAAACCAACTGTTTGGAAAAATTAAACTAAATAAATGTTTGAAATATTGAGAAAATAGTGAAAAGTATTATTATTATTTTTATAATATTGTCGTTACGAGCAGCTTCCAATTCGAAATTGTAAAAATTTTCTTTTATTTTTGTTTGTCATCGAATGTGGGAAAATGTTTCAACAGACACCTGAACATACATGCTGGTTAAATGTTTTACTGTTATAGTAACTGAATTACATTTTATTTTAATTATAAATAAAAATATTATTAAGTTTTTCTTTATTTGTTTTAAAAATTATCTGTTGGCACATTATTTACATACAGTGAATCAATTAAGTAATTTGCCTATGTAAAATTTTATAAATTTTAAGAAAAAACTTTATCTGAACAATTATTTTAGGCAAAATAAAACAATTTGCTTGTTGTATTTTTTAAAGAATATCTTATATTTTAATTTTCTACCATAAAAAGTAAAATCGTGATATTAATTAACGAGATTTTTGATAAAAGGTGAACGTATTGTTAATTTTTAAGGTCAATAAAGTATTTTGCTTTTTTAGGTTTTTTGTTCATTTTTTTAATATTGCTGCATTATTTTATAAAATTTAATATTTTTATTACTCCTATATATTAGAATAACATTTTTTAGATATTTTAGTAGTGGAACGACTAAGTTTGGACATTTCTTAACCGATTTATTATCCTATATACCTATAAGAATTTTTCAATATTTGACTTAACATGAAATCTACCATTTCTTTGATTTAATTTCGAAAATAATAAGCAATTTTGAATTGGATACATGATATATTAGGAAATCAATGGATTTGGATCTAGAAAAAAATATTAGTGGGGTATAAATCTATAGATTATAACAAAAATAATCTGGGATTTTGGTCATTTTGTATTGATAAACAAAAACTACATTGTGGAACCCCATCCATTTGGGGAGTACTGTGTGAATTTTATTTAGAGTTGTATAATATTGATTCTTATTCAATAAAGCTAACACTAAGTACCATCCTAGCCACTCTAAGTATGGGGATATCACCGTATACCACTATAGAACTATTACATGCTAGAATTTTGATATTCTACCTCATATTTTGAATGCATTATTTTATGAATAAAATACAGTAGGCGTAGCTGGATTTGGATAGTTATTCTTGATTTATAAGTGTATGTATTAGCTGAAAAATATTGCTTTTGTGGATCTTAGGTGATGAGAACCGCCTCTATTTATAAATATCTAAATTAAGTATTTTTCCCGTACCACACGATAGTTCACTTTATATTGTTTCCAAGCAACCTAAGGTCTGTTTAGGGGTTTAAATTTAAACATAGTGTTCTTTTAAGTTCGTATATGGACTTTGGAGAAGATAAATGAGGACTTCAATGGTTTTAGCTTGGATACAAGTCGCTCTCCTTTGACAGTTAAAGATTTTTAAAGACAACTCAGTGCGTTTTTTTTAATAATTCTTTGTGTTATTTCATCAATTACTATATTTTTTATTTTTTAATGATTGATTAAACATCTTATAACTGAATTTCATTGATTTATACTTGTTCTAAAAATCTAAACTAATTTTTTATATTGGAATTGCCTCATTATTTCCCTTTAAACATTTTCAACGCAAATAACTACACAGTTTCATACAATAAGGATATGATTTTTGAAAATTACAATTGAAAAATACTTAACTCGTGTCCTTTTAACAATAAAACAATAAATTCCAAAAAGCAATTAAAAAATAATTTGAAAAACCCAACGAAATTAACTGGAAACTTCAATATGCAAAATACTTTATTGACGTGAAAATTCTGATGAAAAATAATAAAATGCAACAACAAATGCACTAACATTTTTATTTTAATATTTTTTTCTTGGTTTTCCCATTCTACACAATCTCTATTTTCAATTGGAAAACATAAATTTACTTTTTACCTGTTTTTTTGGATTTTATTTATGAACAAAAAACAAAATTCTCTTAAAAAAAGGTAGGCAAAAAACTTAGTTGATTCACTGTACATATATGTATGGTAGTAGTTACTTAACTGCTTACTTGTAAATATTGAAAGGTTTGATATATAATACTCAGTTTTAGTAATTGTATATCAAAATGGAACCTTTAAAGTATTTCATCCCTACTTTACTCTGGTATACTAAAGTAACCAATGACTTCCTATCTTGTTGTCAAAAATATATAAAAATAGTACTCCTTGTAAAGCTTCTAGGTATTTAAAGAAAATATTCTTAAAATTTACAAGCAAACAAATAGCTTCTTGCAAGAAAAAACTAGGATTTTGTTGACTGTTTAATTTGGGTAAAAGGAAAAAAAACATCAAAGAAATAAAATTTTCTACTCACTTGCTGTAATCAGCCTTACAATAAACTTGTCTTTCACGTATAAAACATGACTGTTGACGATCCAAGGGACACATACACATGCAACACCGAAGACAGTTAGCATGCCACGAACAGCCACCAACCTCTAGATAGAATCTATCCGAGATTGGTTCCCCACACGCTGCGCAGGAACGCAGCTCAGTCTGCAAAGAAAATTTAAAAATATAAAAACAAAAATTATAACAAAGTTTAATCGAAAAGAAATAAAAAAAATTTGGCAACAAAATGAATTCATCTACATAAATTAATCTGATAAACACACTCCCAATGAGAGAGTGTAGTAGTGGCACGAAGATACAAAGGGAATCTATATACATATTCATTTTTAAATGTTTATTATTTGTTTCAAATAAATATTTCGTAATTTTTTTCTTTTTGTCTTAAAGAAACAAACAAAACAAAATATTAAAATATTTATATTTTTTTCTTTAATTCAGCTGCAAATTTTACATAAATTAAGTAAATTTTTAGTTAAAAAAAAACAAAGTTTATCATAAATCACTTTTGAAATATTTTACATTATCAAAAGGGCATTTAAATAAAGCGATTTGAATAAAATAGAGTTTTAATAAATAAAATTAAAATTCACATTTTACCAAAAAAACTATAAATCTATTTTGTTTTTTTTTTTTTTTTGATTCGACTTGGAAATTTTAGCCGCTCTGGCTTCTGTTTGTTAATGGTAAAATTAATTTCAATTTTTTCTTTTTTTTAATTAAAATTTTTTTTCAAACTTTATTTTTGTTTTGAAAAGTTATAAAAAAAAGACAAAAAAAAAATTAAATGACAATAACACAAGATCAAAAGAAGTTTCAAAACATTCAAAAGAAATGTATTGAAATGCAAAAACCGATCATTGCTTAAAATTAATGAAATGGATGTAGGAGAAAATTTAAATACACGTTTATTTTTTTATATTTAATGTCCAAAGAATATATTCAGAACTTTTGTCTGACAATAAGAAATAGATTAAGTTTCGAATTCCATTAAAATCGAACCTAATTGATTTAAATTTACATAATTTATGTTGAATTTAGTTACAAATTAATGGACAAATTGATTTTTAACTACTATTCAACAAATTTATTTAAAAAGTTTAAGGAAAACTAAAAAGATTAACTGGTATTTATTTTTTATTATTTTTTTTTTTTTTGTTTAGTAGGTCATTGTTTATTTCTTAAAATTATGAAAAATCATTATAAATGGAATTTTATTTCAATATAGTTGAAATTAGAATATATTTTTTTCAAAATAATCCGAAATATTCTGTCAGTCTAAGATTTATAAATACAATCAGATGATCACAAAGTTGTTTCCATGATTTAATATTTTTTCTAACATATATGTATATATCCTGACGAATGACTGAATAGAACAGGGAATTACAATTTATTAAATAGTTGCCCAATTCATAATCGGTTTTGCATCGTTTTATCGTAGTTTGTCATACAAATTGTTTAAACAATAATAAAAAAAATACTACGATACAACGATACACGTCGATTGTGAATTGGGTAAATGTTTATTCAGAACCTTTTTATGTAACAATTGCAAAACTTCATTCATATCACTAAATGTTGATTAAACATTTTTTTCAGAATTTATTTGCAAATACATACATATGTACATATATGTAAATATACATACATATGTACGTATTTACATATAATATATAAATTTAAAAATGTACCCATGAATTTATGCAAAAAAAAAATCGCAATTATTGACATTTTATATAATCATGACAAATAAAACTAAATTAAGCTTAAATATTGTCGCAAAACAAATATTAATATTTGTAAAATTGTGGAAAAAATCTGAAATATTAGGAATGTAACCAAAATTTGATATTACCAATACTCAATACTGTTTAGATAGAGCCGTTTAGCAAAAATATCCAAATTTAAAGGTTATTGCCCTAATATACATACATATGTACCAGGGTTGGCAAATGGAATTTTTAAATTGTACAAAACAGCATTCTGATTGTACCAAATCAATTTTATTTTAAATTGTATATCAATAAGAAGCATTTTCAAAATTAACAGTTCATTTGTATTAGTCCATGGCCTCCCTATGGACTAGGTAATAGACTAGTCTATAGAATAGACATTAGAGTTGTATACTGACTAGTCTATGGAAAAGAATGTATATTAGCACATAGACAAATTCCTAGAGTAGATAGTAGAATAGTCTATAGACTAGGCAACGGACCACTCTAAAGACTATATAATATACTAATCTATAGAATAGTCCGAAAGTAATCCAAATGCTATTTCATATACTAGTCCCTAGACTAATTTATAAACTAGACCATAGAAAAGTCATTAGACTAGATCAAAGTATGGTAAAAAGTACTTTAAACGTCTATTATTTAAATTTTTAGCGGTATCTTTGTTAAAAGTTTTACTGCTTGTCTGGTTGTAATCTCTTCAAGAATTCTAAACAATATCAGGGAAAATACTTAAACAAGAATTGCATTTTGCCTCTTCTGAAGTTTAGTAAAAATTTTACCGAAGTTGGTAGTGCTTTGAATTTGGTGTCAGAAGTACAATTTAAGAATATTTTTTCAAATGGAAATAAATTTAAAATTGTACAAAATGGGTCAGTGGTGTACCATTGTACTTTTTAGGATTGAATTGTACCAAAAAAAGTACAATTGTACCAATTTTGCCAACCCTGATATGTACCCACACAAAGTAAATACATATGTAAATGTATAAATAACTAATTTTTTATTTGCTTTATTTTAGTTTAATTATTTACAATATTCTATTGGTCAGAAATTATATAATGCAATAATGCAGGATGAAATTTTTCATTCGACGGTAATGACTTTGAACATAAAAAATATAATTATTCTAATAAACATAATCGATATACATATGTACATATCGTCCCCTGAATTGTTAAAGAACGTAACAACTCTTTTAAAAATTTTACACTAACTAAAATGAAACTAAAATTACACAGGCCAACGAAATGAAGGTTTGTGAAAACTTTTAAAAAATTTGGACTATTTTTAATGTATTTTTATCTGCTGAAACCGAATCTGAAATCTATTTTTTTCTATCCATCCACCATTTACTCACAAAATGAGATCGAATATTTTGTTCATATATTACGCACATTTTATATAATTATAAAAATATATTTACGTTTAAGGGTTAATTTGAATATTTTCGTTGTCATCATAAATACGGGTCTTCATTATATATTTATCCTAAGTTTCATTCAAATCAGTTGAAAACAAAATAATATTTCACTATGGATTGAAGAGCATTTTCCAATATTGCATAGCTTGAGTTTGACTTTCACAGTTTATGAGTTAATACTATTCGATTTTACTAAAACTTCAGATATAAGTATGTGTCATAGGTATTATCTTAAATTGTATTATCTAAAAAATTTTATATAAAATGGACAACAGTAAAGAATAAAACCTGTTTTCGAAAAATGTTTACCAAAAAATTATTTTCTCCGTAATCTACAAAATATATCGACCTAATTTCTTTACTATTTTATTTCCTTCTTTATTGTCCATAAGTCACGTAGGAGAATTTCCCAAAATTTTAAAATTTGCTTAACAAAATTGCTAAAAGTTTGAAACTGGATTTTTGAAACAGCCGTCTGAAGGGGTTTCTATTTATGACTATACACCAAATACGGTTTACGCTATCTAATGGGGATAAAAACACACATTTAAGTTAACAGGAATGTATTTAACATAATGACATAGTTTTATAAGAATATTTCCCAGATAAGTGTTTTGGGACACTAAGGGATCGGAGGAATTTTTAAAAACTTTTACCAATTTTTGTGTTTTATATCTTATTGGAACGATAATTGAATATATATTTCAATTATTTTCTTTTCAATTCAAAAATATAAACTAAGTGGTAAAATTTTTCCAAAAACCACTTTTGACTTCAGAGCCGTGGCACCACTAGTTAACGTGGTCCTATTGCGCGAAATTTTTCCAAAATGCATTTTTATAACTTTAGGCATGGATTATTTTTTTGTTACGCCCTTTTTGCATAAATAAATATAAACATTAATTTGTTTAAATGAAATATTTTCCAATTTTCAAATTTTATAATGGAAATCTATATAATTTTTCTGAATTACTTCTATATAATTTGTTGCATTTTAATTTTATTTAATTAAATGTAAAATTTTCTATAAACAAAACTAACAAAAGAAAATACTAACATTTTTATATCGTTATAAAATCAAGTGCTAAAAATATGAAGATTTAATAGTATTTTATACGCTTCCAGCGTTATAAACTTTGAATATATTTTAGAGATACATACATATGTATGTATGTATTTATAGATGAAAATAAAACTTTATAAAGCCTTTGGCATTCTCACGGTATTTATGTGAGTATATAATATTTTGTCGTATATGATGATCATATAATTTTATATTTGAAATAACTTTATTATTATTTTTTTTTAAGATTTCAAATTTTGATAGAGATTTTTTTCTCAGTACCTTTTGTAACACTTCATGACAAATCATAATAAAATCTTAAACTTTTTACAATTCATTTCTCTTGCTACCTCTTGCCCCTCACAATAAAAAAAGATCTTATACAAATCTATGTGTATATCTTTGACAGTTGTCGCGTCAATGTTATTATTTGGTTTTGGTTATTTATGATTTATTTTGTTGTTTCTCTTTTCTGAAGATTTTATTTGTACGACAAGTTGCGGCCCAGTCATTATTGATGGGATCTCTCAATTTGCACAAACAGTCAAAGATTATAAACAAAACACTGCCTCAACTTGTAGTCTTATAAAAATCATCGATCCATCGATCAATTGATCTTATGTGTAACCAAAGATGACAGTCAGACACCATCCATGAATAATAAAAGATGATGTAGTTTTTTTTATTTATATTTTGGTTTATTGTTTTTACTTTTTCACGGTGAATTTTTACATTTTAAAAATTTTTTTCTTCATTGTCTTCGACAGTCTTTGGCTTAAATTCAAATACTATGGTTTAACAAAAAAAATCTATAAAGGAAAAAGTAGCAATACAGTAGCATAAATCTATATATCGTAGTTATTGTCATACACACATACATACATATGTAGCTACTTATGTATTTAAAAAGTCATATACCGGGAAA